CTCTAACAACAATAATTATAACAATTACAAAACAAACCTTCAATTTTGTGGGTTCCTGGAGCAAAAACTCCCAAATATCAGACCAAAGACAAAGAGAAACCAAAATGTCCGAAAATAATGATATAAACACACAAGTTCAGAAGTTGAGTAAAACAAATACATCCAACAACACAGTGAAATTAACAATATTCAATATAAAGTTTTTAGTCAGTCAAATGTCCTCAGTTCCCCCGTAACACTAGTGTCTTGCACCCACTCTGAACTTATGTCTTGCTAGGGTATTCTTCAAGTCTCTTAGTACTTGAATTCCGATTATGTAATCTCCGCCCAAATTTTCATTTGAAGCGTGTTAAGCATTAAACCAGAAACTTTAAAATAATTACGTGTGTTTCCCGACCAGATGCTGCCGCCTTCTTTTTTATTTATCTTTTAGTTCATCAATATCCGGATGATTCTTATTATTCTTGCTAACCTCCGGCGCGCGACAATCACACACAATTTGGTATCGAACCAACGTCACGTTGATCCTGGTGGGAGAGTAGTGTAGTGGCATTGGGCCCTACCACGAGACAATATGAGAAATAGACATTAAACATTTAACGTGGAGAAATACAGAAGAATGGAGAAGGCGGGAATAATAGATTGAATTAGTTCGAGTTCATCGGATGGCATGGCTCGGTCTTGCAGGCGTGGTCCCAGCTGAATGTTATCTTGTATCTTCTATTCATATTAAATATATTCTATCTCTAGCCTAAGCTTGTTCCCTATCACGTATTGGTAATTGTCACAATGCAATTAGTTGGTGTAGACGATGCTGTAACTTCCACGTAAGATCTTATAGATTAGGCAGTTACATCATGATAAACCTACAATTTTAGGATTAGGTCTACTATTAGAGCAGTGCTAATATCATAATAGACCATAATTCTAAATACAAACGGAAAGAAGCGGAAAATTACGAACAAATACAGGATGTGAAAACAATGCTAATGATGAAAAAAGTAAAATAATAATAATAAAAATGGCGTTTGCTAAGTTACATACGGCAATGTAAGGGGTGAAGGGGTCACGAATTTATTCTGTACGCATGAATCGCGGTCAAATGTACGAATTTTTATGACTTCAGATGTATGTATTAGTATGCATCCATAGTAATATAAAATGATGATTTCCGGACCCATGAAAAGACTATCTTGAGGCTGAACACCGGCACACAATAGTTTATCTTCCACCAAACGGTTCACAATTCGAAGTGAGAGTTACGTTGCCTTTATTTTCGTGATGGTCTCAGGCGGAAAAAAATTTTTAGTCTCTTTCCGAAAGCCATGCTATGAACAAATCGAACGAAGCTTAAGAGAGCCAAGTGTAACTCTCTAAACGTGAGCATTATCATATGTGAGGAGCAAGCACTTGCTTCCTTATACACTTCAGTATTCTACAGAACGAGTCTTTCCTGGTTTAATCTTATTATTATTATTCACAAACATCTTATGGCTACATAAGTGTTGTGAAAAACCATCTCGGGTTTCCTCAAATGCTGGTCAAAACACTAAAAGCCCATGTTACTTTGCGACGTTTCGTCCTGCGTTTTTCAACCCGGCGGTTACTATTGACCACAAGGGAATCAAGTTTAAGATGATTCTATTAATCATTGATTTCAGTATAAACTTAGACATAGTTAGTTTAAAATTTCCTCCTTGTAAAAAGTTCACTGACAGGCTTGGAGTAAAGTCTTTTGTATTTCCATAATAGCGAGTGACGGACTTATCTTTAACACTTCAAGGATTAATTAGTTGATTGGTGACATGTTGCAGACTACTAATACAACCTACGTAACTCTCCTCCAGAGGTATCCCAAGTTGAAAAAGATCTAGGGGTGTTGATACCCTATAATCGGAAGTTTTACGCTAACTGTGACAGAAATGTCTTTCGAGCAAACCTTGCACTGGTAACACTGAAGCGCATTTCCGGCTAGTTCGAGGGTAGAATTTTCCACATAATCCTCGACAGTTTTGTTCATCCACATTTAGAGTACGAAGGTGTAGTATTTCTTCCATCACTCTAAAAGGATAGGGGCACTCCGGAACGTATCCGACGGCTAGCCACGAAATTACTTCGGAGGCTCAAAATCAAGTCTTATGAAGAGCGCCTCCAATCACTGAACGTTTACCCATCAGAGTACAGGCGTCTTAGAGACGACCTTTTAATGACTTACAACATCCCATTAAGCGAAAGCTTCTTCTATTCCGTCCAGAGTCATTTGAACGTTTGAACCATTAGTTTCCCTCGTAGATTGTTATTTAGTGCTACTAACTTTCTCAAGGACGTTGTCACTATGCAATTGCACGTGCAATTCACTTGGGTCGTATTTCTGTCGTAATTCGGTTAGTAAAGGTTGTCTCTTTATAAGGCATATTAATTGCTTATATTCTACTTTACTTTCACGATTTATCATGATGTTACCTATCTCACTTAACGTTCAAGGTTATTTAAAGAACTTGGGAATTAGGAAATAATTATTTCGTAATCCCCAATCTTCCGATTTCGGAGAGACTTCTGTCAATTATGGAGAAATTCCAGGGGACTTTAGGGTTTTCCTCAAGATTTCCCTAGACTTTGGGGTAACCCCAAAATTTGATGTGTCAGCTGATTTTCTGTTTGAGATTACTAGAGTGTTTAAAAACCAGCACAATATAAATAGAAAGGTAATTAGGATGGTGCTTGTACAGTATTTGTGCCATTTGGATGAGAAGAAAACCATCTGCTTCGGTCTGGGCACTCGGGTAGTATCACAACCCACACAGAGATCAAATGACAGTTACTATTGGAAATATTATCCATTAGGGTTTTCAAAGTCATGTTCTGTTAACCTCAGGATTGCTCATAAAAATACTTAGCTCGGTAGCGCCACAAGTGTTTTGTCTAGTTATGGATAATCTGAGTTATTGAAAAAGGTGCATAATGTTGAAAATTTCAAATTTCCTTCTTTGTTGATGCTACCGAATTCTTTGCCTATAGAATTGTCACTACACAATAAAGCGTAGTTCGTGGAGTTAGTAGCTTTCGGAAACGTATACAGCCAGGCTCTTAATGGTAAGTTTTTATGCGACTTCCTGACGACATTTTACTAGCCGTTTATTATTTATATTTCCTTGGTATTCATTCTGTGTATTTTTCTGAACTGGTATCGGTATTCCTCCATAGCTAATCTAAAACGAGGAAGAGCAGCTAGTCCAGACGGATTAAAGCCAGAGGTTTAAAAGGATGGTGATCCAGTTTTAGTGATTAGGTTGATCAATATTTTAGCCAAAATCTGTGAACTGAGTGTAGTTCCATCCCCTAAATGCCCTGGTATGACCGAGAGTGGGAAGAGTCCGCTCTCCCTCTCGAAATGCTCTCACATGGCCACGCGTATATAACCTCTACCAGGGAAGTCCTACTCACTGCCTTCTCGTGGCGGGGGTGTCGATTACGAAAATGAGAGGATGAAAAGCGAATATCCGGCGCTATAACCGTATCCCAAACCAATGGTGCACATGGGCTCCAGTATCCGGAGGGAACAAGTGGCGTATGAACCAATCGTTGGTCACCGGCTACCATGGGACTGCATCTCCTCACGATGCTCCACTGACTTGTGGATCAGACCTTTAGGCCAAAGGCTCGGAGTGTGGCCACATAAGAAAACCACCTGTTTCTGTTTGGACACCCGGGCAGTATCACAACCCTCACACAAATCAAATGAGAATTGTGTGGCGCATATGTATTTGGTGCCTCCTTGTACCAATATCTATATTAAAATAAATACAATAAATAAGATAGGGAGTGAAATAGTCGAACGCGTTGGCAACTTCACTTATCTTGAAAGTTCGATCAGCCCGAATGGGTTGGTATCTGACAAAATCTCAGCATGGATTTGAAAAGCTCGTTTGGCTTTGTTAACTTACGTCACCTTTGGCTAAGGAGAGATATCCCTCTATCAATTAAGGGATGAGTATACTGTGCAGCAATTCGTTCTGTCCTACTTTACGGCTGCGAAATGTGGCCATTAAGAGTAGAAGATACACGTAAGTTGCTAATATTTGACCACAGATGCCTTAGAAATATTGCGGGTATCTGCTGGGATCACCGGGTAAGTAGTAGTGAGGTTAGACGCAGGGTATTAGGGAATGATGGTAAATCAGTTGATGAGGTTATGAATCTTCATCGACTGAGATGGTTGGGCCACGTGTTGCGTATGCCTGAACACCGATTACCACAATGCGCAATGCTGACTAGTATAGGGGATGGTTGGAAGAAAGTTAAGGGCGACATATCCAAAACGTGGCACCAGTCTATAAAGTCACTAACTTTTGGTCTGAAGCATGTTGGTAGATGCAGACTACTTGGGGTCCGCGTGACTATCTTAACCAATAGTTGGATACTTTGAATGACATGGATCAGGATCAATCCCAGTGGCGTTGGTATACACACTCTCTGTCTTTCCTTAAACTATGAGATTAAAATTACTTTATACCTTTCTTTCTACGAACTAATTCTTTCACCCTGCATTATATCCTTACACACAATCTTTCTTTTACATATTACTACGACTGAAGTAGCTAATATGAATTTGGTGATTATCTTGTTGTGCTAATGAGGTGTGGCAACTTGGACCGATGCATATGTGTGCGTGGTCCTACGTTGTAGCTGACTGACTCACTTCATAACTATGCTTGGCAGACTACTGGCATGTATTTTTAAAATCCTCTTATCAAAAGATGAGGATACTTTAGTTTTATCTGGTTAAAAAATTCTTGGTCTATAAGCCTAGGTTTTCGTCAACCCTGATGCCTAACTTTGACAGTTACCCAGCTAGTAAGTGTTTACTAAAGTAGGGAAATTTGTAGCTTATGAACCTTTATCGGCTCACATCTTTTAATCAGTAAGTTTTGGTTCAAATTTTATTACGGCAATTTAAAACAGACATAAAAAGAATTAATTTCGAATTATACTTTCCGATTAGTATGTGCATCATACGTTTTGTTACTGCTGTTCTTGTAGTTTCTCTAGTTTAAGTAATTTTTCACTACTATAATAGACATTATTCTCCACTAGTCGGTTTACATTTATCAAAATCTAGAAAACTCTTACATATGGATGACGATGAACTTACTCAAGAGATTTTGGACCAATTCGACCTCATTTGTACGCAACATCAATATGATCATGGTAAGTAAGGTATTACTAAGTGAGTTATGTACATTTAGTGTCGGCATACAGTGGCGAAAATTTAAATAAACACAATATACATTCAAACAGTAAGTTCATTCCATCTGTTCCTCATGGTTTCAAACTTTAGAGCTATCTAATTGCTTATCTCGGTCAACTTCGTTAGATACAAAGTTGGGAGGATGCACGCAGACATCTGACTTCCCACCTAATGATCAAACTTCAACTGTTGGACGAAGCGAACTTGAACGGTTAAAGAAAGAAGTAAGTTTCATGTTTTGATCAAACAAAACCACTTACAAGAAAATGATCTAACTGTGGTACTTAGATGTCTTATCTGACTTTTAACTGTTCTTTCGAATGTGATTTAGTGTTCTACAGAAATTCATATCATTCGATGTCAAAGAGCTTATGGTGACTAATGGTTCTGTGACACATATCCTTAGTTAAATTTCATGTTTTCAAATTATGAGGTAAAGTTGTTGTCGAATTTATTTCCTGTCAAACTAGGAGGTTTTAGATTTTTATCATGGTAATTTTCATTTATTGAATAACGTAATTGACTGCCGTAAAACGCTTTGTATTTAAAAGTGCTTATTTGCATGACGCGTGTAAAGTAAATATATTCTTAGTGGTTGAAGCTCATCTTCCTTCATGTTACCTGAGTGCTAAGTATAACTGCAGGCATTTTAATCAGTTCATAGTATTTGCGAATTTCAAACGTTTAGAAAATTATGGCTTCCTTTAGTGTGGATCTAGTTCATGAAACACATGCAGATGCCGTAATCGATTGAACAAGATGTTCTAAACAGTTGTATAACCACTAACAAGCACTAGATTTAATGAGCTGTTCGTCCTAATTCACACTAACACCTATTCTACTTGTGTTTTTAATCATGTACTTGGGTTTAACCGGTATATTTAGTTAAGCCACTGTATCTTAAAATAGAGACAAATAACTTCAAAGATTACGTAAATATTGTATTAGTTGTTGTCAGTGTGTACGTAAGTATTATTTATATATATCTTTTACTTATTTCGGGTCATTTTTTTTTTCTCATCGAATTTTTCTAGGTATCTGTTCTACGTGAAGAGCTTTATATGAAACTAGGTGAACTTGCTACCATTAAAGAATCTGCCAGTCGAACAAAAGCAACCGATTCTGATACTATCAGTAAATTAGAATCACATCTTAAATCTGAACGAAATGATTTCCAACGTAAACTAAGTGAATTAAATGCTCAGATAGCCTTTCGCGAAGCTGATTATCGATTAGTATGTAGTGAACTAGCTCGTATGAAAGAAGAGGTTGCATTTAATAAACAAGTGGTGAACGGTAAGTATTAAAGATTCCATTACAATTAATAAATAATTAACTGTCTCCTTGGTACTTTATTTTTTCATCTTATCTTTCAGACCAGTAGAAAATTGTTGACCAGTCAGTTATAAGCAGTGTAGAACCCGACACATTTATGCATAAGCTATAGTTGGCACACCACTTCACTGCGGCGAGATGAATTTTTTTGAGACATATGACAGAGTAATAATACTAGTAACAGTACCAGTTCTAAAATGATTGTTCATAGACAGTACGATTTAGAAGGAAGAATCAGACTCTCAGGATAAGAGGTATAAGGTAATTTTAAAATTCAAAGGCTGATGGGGAGATAAGAAGTGAGTATATCTGCCTCATTGTGAAAGTACTTTGATGTGATGATTAAAGAAACCGATACTGACATAGACAACGTTAGTCTTACAGTTTAATCTGATGGTTAACTTTTTATTTAAAACATCACTCTTTTCTCTCAAATTGAATTATTTTGAAAACTAAACATCAGTTAATATAGCCTTAAATGAAGTAGTCCTATCATTCAGTAACATTTAAAGATACTGAACAAAAAAGTATCATGTTAGCGCTATAAGACGAAGTCAACGACATGAAAATCAATAAACTGAAAAATAGTCTCATCAACGGTGGTTGAGGTCTAAACATTTGAATTATGGTTCTAAATAACATATGAAACCAAAGTAATGGAAACCTACTATATAATCAATCATCAATACTATTAGTTACAGCAATAACAGGTATTTTTCTTTGACCTTTCAAAAATAACTATCCGCATTCACCGACTAAACAGTTTATTCAACTTTTCGTTTATTTAATTTAGTAGGTTTATATAATACACTACATTCTGTAACTGTTCATCTTTGCTAACTGTTATTTATATTTCAGAACGTTCTGTTGAATATTCTCCTGCTTCACAAATTCTTATCTCCCTAACTTCCCCAAATCCTGATCATGTTTCTAACCAAAAATTACGAACACCTGTCCCTCGTGTTCCAAGCACGGATTTTCACCTTCCTGCACCAGTTACTCCTATTCCTAGTAAACGGTATAAAGTTCCAACCGGTGGTCGAATGTGGGATGTTAATGTCACGAACAATTTAGATGATAAACTAAAGTCAAATAAAACACCACAAGCTATTGATAAAAATGTAGTCTTGATAGATAGTGATGAAATTACACCGTCAAATGCATCGAGGAAACGACAACGATGTGTTGTGTCACCTGATACTTCTCCAGAATACTGTGTGCGCCAAATTCCTGTATCTTTAGCTGATGCATCCGTTGAAACTACAGACCTACCACATATTACTTCTCATAATCATCCTTTGTCTTATCGAATTCCATCCTGTGCTTTTTCAACCACTGAGCCTTTCAGCGAATTTACTAAAGGAAATCCTGAAATGTTATCAGAATTATTAGATTTGTCTATTTCAATTCCTCAGAATGAAAAGAGCAGGTCAGATTATTATTATTATTACTGATTTATTTTAGTTGTCATAAACACCTTGAACTATTCATTATTTTTCTAAGAAACCAATAACCGTGCTAGAGTACTAAATATCATATAGACTGCTTTTGCAAATTTACAGTCAACTAATTTATTTCCTAATACTCAATTGTTAAGTAAACCTTTACGAACTAGCCTTGAAACCCTACTGTTAGTGTGTGTGAGCCATTGATAATACACGACTTTCCATTTGAAGTAGATTAAGTAAGATTAGGATCAGCGATCTATTTTTGAAAACCAAGTGTTTTAACCACTAAGTCACCGCTCCTAAAATAACTATGATATTAATAGGGTTTCTGTTCAATAACTGCTTAATCAGTATTGCAAATTATGGTTTCATATTGAATCGTGGATGATTATCAGGTAATAGAGTCAATCTTGAGTTAAAAACTGGACAAGGTCACACTTAGTTCACATGTTGACTTGGGAATCATTGATCACGAAATTGTCAAACAGTTTCTTACTAGTACATCCTTCATGGATAACATACATATACCTACACACAACTAAAAAGCTAAGCTGTATAAATACCTGAATGGTTAACTCTGTTATTCCCTAAAACTAAGACCATGTTGTATAACACGGTGAGGGATAGTACAAATAGGTTCACTTGGATGTTTGCTGAACCTATTTTTTGATTAATTATTCATAAATAGGAATACAGACTAATGTAAATGTATTTTTCTTTCAGGAGTAACATCGATATTAATCCCCAAACAGCATTGATCACATCATCCTTTTCAATTTCAGAAGATTCCACCTGGTTGTTATCAGATTATTATCTCACAGGGTTAAGTAAATTACTTCCACGACAGTCAGATATTCTTAGTGGAATCCAGTCATCATCTGACAACTATGCATCACGACTAAATTTAGTGGTTAAACGATTTTCTGAATCTATACCCTACTTATTACGAAGAATAGAAGAGCAGTTAAAAGTACGTTGACACTAACATTTTTTTATTCAACTATCCATTCATGTTGATGATTTGTGTAGTAAATGTCATTTCGAAGAATGACATTAAAAAAAAGGAAAATTATGCAATAAACCAATAGTTACTTATGTGTAATATAATTAGATTACGTTGGATAGATGCAACATTGGTTCCTAATGTTCATTTCTTCAGTAATACTTGAATTCAATACCAGTTGTTTTCAACGCCAGGACGTTATCCACTGGAATACTGTTTCATTTTCATAAGGTTATTATTTAGGATTATCGATTGATGTATGATTCTTTCATCAATATTTCTTTTCAAATCAAATCGAAAATGAGAGGACGAAAAGCGAATGTCCGGCGCTTTAACCGGATCCCAAACCAATGGTGCACATGGGCTCCAGTATCCTGAAGGAGCAAATGGCGTATGAACCAATCGTTGGTCACCGGCTACCATGGGACTGCATCTCCTTACGATGCTCCACTGCCTTGTGGATCAGACGTTCAGGTCAAAGGCTCGGGGTGTGGCCCCCTAAGAAAACCACCTTATTCGGCTTGGGCACCCGGGCAGTATCCCAGCCCTCACACAAATCAATTGAGATTTGTGTGGCGCATATGTATTTGGTGCCTCCTTGTACCAATACCTATGTGTTAAAATAAAATAAAATAAATAATTTCAAATCAATTAAATTCAGTATCTCATGCTTATTTGTTTGTGCTTACACCTCATTTGCTCGATAATACCAATACAAATGTTTATGTACCACAATACTATTAAATTTATTCATCTGACTCCACCTAGCATATAGAATTTATGGAGAAATCAAGATCAATATTACTTTAGTACAAACCCAGAAGCTCTATCTAATCATATATATGACTAAAAAAAACAGTAATAGAGTTCATATTCTGTCGTTGAGAATAACGGCTAACAATAGCATAAGACTGCTCATATCGGTAATTATAAATTGTAATATTTTTTAACAACTGACATTATAGCCAATAGTAACTGTAGTTTTTTGTTATGAGTGACATTTAATTAATTAGAAAGCATTCCTGTAATCATTTTTCTTACTAATAATATGTAGGGATGTATTCGTGTACTTTTGGATCCTTATAATCGATATGTAAGGAAATCAATCCAATCATGTCATTATTCAGACTTCCAAAAAGTCGAGACTGAAGACATGGAGATAGCAGAAAAAGAGCATGAACAACCATCATCTATGGATGTTTCTGATGATGCTAGCTCACATGAAATATCTTATTTAGGTGAAGATCCTTTTGCTGGTGCACCTGCATCACAAATTGTCACATCTCTAACATATCCTTCCCAAATGAAATGTAAGTTTTTGAATTGTATATAATAGTTGATTTTATTATGTTTTATGCTAATTTAATGCTCCCAAATGCTCTGGTACGGTCGAGGGTGGACAGAGTTCGCTCTCTCTCTCTCTCTTTCTCTTAAAATACTCTCATATGGTCATGGGTATATATTTACTGCTAGGGAAGTTCTACTTACTTCCCTCTCGTGATGGGGGTGTTATTCACGAAATTGAGAAGACGAAAATTTAATGTTTGGCCGTTTAATCGGGTTGTTAGGTACGGAGGATCCACCTAGGGGAGTTTGAAAACCCTGATTCCGAACCAATGGTACACATCGGCCCTAGGATCCCGAGGGGAAAATGGCAACCATAGGGCTGTGTCCCCTAATGTTGCTCCACTGCCTTGTGGATTATACCTCTAGGTCAAAGATTCGGGGAGTGGCCCCCTAAGAAAACCATCTACTTGGGTTTGGGTGTCCGAGCAGTATCCCAGCTCACACACAAATTCAGTGGTTTGTGTTGCGCACATATATTTTGATGCTTCTTTGTAGCAATGTTTATGTGCTCAAATAAATAAAAATCTATACTATTATTCACTCATTACTCTTAAATTTTTTCCGCAATGATGCTCCGGGAAACGTTATACAGTTGTCATTGTTTCTAAGGTCTGTGATGCTGTACATTTTCTCAAAGTAAAGCCGATTATTTCCCTATTGGAAGGGACCATACTTAGAGCCTCTGACTTAAAAATCTAATCTATCCGGTGATTTGTTGACGTCAAAATATTCATCATCATGCGAGATCATTGGCCACAGATATGTCCATAAGTGATTTTCTTTAGGATCCTGTGGTTCATATGGGTCATTATTTCAGAATTAGCATATTTTCGGTGCCTTATTGTGCCGAACGTTTTTGTATTTCAAATTAAAAAATCAAGCTTACGATTTATTTCTTTCGCTTTCTCACTTTGGTAAAAATATCCTAACCACAAGAAAGCAGTAAGTAAGGTGTTCCCTCATAAGAAGGTCGAAAGCATATGGCCTTTTGAGCGGAACCATATATAGATATTTAGTAGAATTTAATTTATTTACCACATATTACTTTAAATTATTCTCATTTGCATAATTCAATTTGTGTTACTATCTTGAAACATCGACTTCGGTGGCTTGAACATGTTCTACGAATGTCGTCCCAGAGAATTCCTCGTCGTGTATTATTTGCCGACTCTGGGACTGGTTGGAAAACGCGGAGAGGTGGTCAGTGTATGACATGGTGTCGTGGTATGAAAGAAAGCTGCACAGGACTGGCATCTGTTGGTCCTTCACGACTCCCTGGTTAGGGTCCTAGAGGTGGTGTAACACAATGGCTAGAGATGTTATCAGACATGGCTCAGAATAGAAGCCAATGGCGATCCTGCTGTAACCTTTTACTTTCCTCATAAAAAGTTGTTGTATCTTCCTTAACTGAAAGAATTCTGGTTGTACCTTTTTGTTTCTCCCATTATTATTGTTATTTCACTACCATACACTAATTTGTGGTGGTTATTGTCCTTCTTTTTAACACACTTTCATTATTTATCTCTTCACATTCTCATTGTTATTGTGTGGCGCATATGTATCTGGTTCCCCCCTTGTACCAATATTTATGCGTTCAAATAAATAAATAAAATAGCATAAAGGCCACAAACTAGTTAAATGCAGTTATGACAAGTGGTAGTTTGTTCGCGTGTATTAATTCGTTATTCAAGCCATCTATTCTAGAAAAACTTATTCACTTGTTCATACTTTATACTTGGTAAATTGTGGGATTATGCAACTAGCATACTTTGTGCCTTATATCCGTCCGGTTTATTCTAATAATTAGAATATAGTAGACAATAGGATGATTTCGGTGGAATGATGTACACTAAACTGAATAGTTTATTTGTGTGGCTTTACCAAAATAACTCTAATTTTGATGTCAACTTATTCTCTTCACATGGTATTGAATAGCCTTTAAAAAATGACGTCGAAATCAGGTGGGTAAACATAAATACTCGGACGATAGATTGGTGCTCGGTCTTTCACTCTATTGTGTTAATGCAGTTTGTAGCGATTCCTAATGATCTCGTCTCAAAAATCCTCAACCCCCCCAAACTATAGTAAAATAAATATATCATTGGCTCTTAAAACATGAGAATTCCAACCAGTTGGTCACAGGTTCAAATCTTATTTAACCTTCTTTGTCGAGCCTAGGTATCCTTATCGCATCACTAACCACTAAGAGACTAGATAAGCATAACGCTGATTATTACTCAGTTATCGATCAATTAGAAATATCTCAGTTGTACAGGTGGTCAACCACGTTCCAAATAGATTAATTACAACATCTCAGACTGTGGGTCTGGGCAAATCATTTTCGAATCTCACTGTGACCATCAGTTCCTTCAAAATTACGGATACCCCAGCACGAAACTTAGTTTTAGAGTTTGCCGCTAACTACGTCCAACTTCTTAATATTTTAACAAAATGCACTTAATGTTGAGTTACTCTGACTAGTAGCCACATTACAACGTGATTGATCAAATTCGATCAACATTAAACGATTAAGCAAACTACATTGATCACTGTCCAGTGACCAGTTGATTGTATCATTAATTTTTACTCATAAGGTACATGAACCACTTGTTTTTTTCTCCTGTTGTTTAAATTGACTTTTACATTGTTCAATTTAATTTCCTTATTTTTCCGTAGCCATTTCAAAACAAGTGGGAGGAAATTCTATCTTAATGAAAAGAAACAAATCATGTCCCTCAGATATTGGTTATTGGTCCTCGACTAATCCTATTGTCGGTGATAATAAAATAATTGATAATAATAGCGCTGATAAAACCACTAGCTGCCCTTCATTATATCATGAAATTATGATTAGTCGAAGTATACAAGGAATTAATCAATTAAAGTACTTGGCTACACTTATTAATTCTTATTGTCCTATTTCATTTGAAATGTTTAATGGAATCAACACTGATTTTACTATGAATAATGATGAACTCCTATGCATTTCTAAAGAATTTCAAAATCTTATTCGAACAATTTCTGGTGTTTTATCCCGTTTCATTAATAAACTTATAGATGTCTTTTTGTAAGTCCAATCTTTCTGTTATCGTTTTGTATTTATCAATAGAAAACAACTTAATGACTTATTATAAGAACTTGTTAAATCATGTTTTTGGATAAAAAACAAAATTCAAGAGGCTTTGCCCCAGTGGTTAAGAGGTTCGAATTCTCCTCTGCTTACTTAATCTTGGACAGCCAGTTAGTATCACTTGCCCTCACATTTTGAATATGGCCCGTGGCTTCAAGTAATTGGTGATTGGGTTAGTAGGCCAAAGTAAAAAAAAACGAGGAAAATATTCGTAGAATAAAATCTGAGCACGAAAATAAATGATTCGAGATTATGGTTATCTAGTTCTGTAGTAGATTTTACCTTTGAGCATTAATTCAGAGGTAACAATATTGTGAATATTCTCCATGTGAAACTGATAATTTCTAAATAGAATCTATGACATTTCACTTTGGGGTTCTATCGGTTGATTAGTGTGGAGACCGAAAACAATAGTGTATGTTTATAATTGCACTTAGCTAAATGAGGTTAAATATATCGGTCTTACTAGGAGCTTGCCTGTAAAATGTACACCTTAGCTAGCTAGAACTAAGAGAAGATTCGTTCACATCTTCGTTATTGATCTTCATATATTTGAAATGATAGGCACTGCATTCGAGTCTTAGTTTGAATATCGACACGAGGATGTAGTTAGATTTCGTTCGGAATATGAAAAAAAGCGCATCATTGATTCCAGTGTTAATCAGAATCTATATGTACTAAAAATTGTAACTAAAAGTTTATATTGAAGCGATCCGCTTCGGATTTATGTTTATCACTTAGAGTCCTGAATATGAACAATGGAAAATTTCAAACCCTTATTAATGCTTTCAATACTTTGTATTACTAGAAAAATGTTAACAGCTAGTAATATTTTGACTTTGCTTGTTGTTTGTTATTCTTGTTATATTTTCTCTTCTTTCATTCATTGTTTTGTTCAAGTCAAATGGAAGAAGGAAAAAATCCAATTTCATCATTATCAACAACATTAATACAAAATGAATTAATTGGTGACAGTGCTACAAATGTTGCATGTTCAATGGATCAGTCATCTTTTAAACAATCTCAGTATACTTCTTCTAAACAAAAAAATTACATTTCATCATTTTGCGTTATTGTACCTTTAATTATTGAATGTTTAAACTTAGCCTCTGTATTTGCAGTTTTCATTAAAACTGATTCAAATCCATTGAAAAACAAGGTTTCCAATACAGATGTGAATGTGACAAACTTGTAAGTGTATTTGTTAAAATACCAATTTATCCATGTTGGTTTTCATGAATTATTTATCAATAGTTTCTCGTTAGTTCTTTCTTTATTAAATGAGCGGTGGCTCGACAGTTGAGACGTTCTACTTTCAAACACTAAGTCTCAGGTTTGAATCCCATCCCATTTGTTCTGGTTTGGAAAACCGGTTAGTATCAATAGCCCTCTTACGATAAATGTGGTTCCAAGTGAAGTACAAGCATCTGTACCTGATAGTGATTCGATGATAATAATAATAATAATAATAATAATAATAATAATAAGAATTGAGTTTACATATTTATTTCCATTTTTAATATTCGTTGCACTACTACTATATTATTATTAATTGTTAAGTTACAATAGGACATAGGACTTAATGTTTACAAAATGTTAAGTAGAGGATGCTTAGTGACCACAATTAAACGTCATACGTAATCATACACAGACTTTCTTGACGACACCTGACATCAAAATGAGCTAGTAATATGAGCAATCAACTTCCTGTGTTATGAGAAAGAATTTGACATTGCGAATATGAGAACTTTGTGGAATCTTCTTCGACACTATGGAGTACTTAAGAAGATCGTCAATATCATACGGGGCTCTTTTGAGGGACTGAACTGCAAAGTTGTGTATGGAGGGCAGTTCATAGATGCATTACAAGCGAAGACCGGTGTCAGACAAGTCTGTTACCTCTTGCTTTGATTTGTGTGAGGGCTGGAATACTGCTCGGACGCCCAAACTGAAGCACGTAGTCTTCTTATAGGGCCACTTCCCATACTTTTGACCTGAAGGTCTAATCCACAAGGTAATGTAGCAACGTTTGGAGACTCAGTCCCATGGTAGTCGGTGACCAACAATAAGTTGGTACGCCACTTGTTCCCTCGGGATTCTGGAGTCCATGTGCACCATTGGTTTGGAACCAGGGTTTCCTAACTCCCCTAGATGGATCCTCCATATCCACCAACCTAGTTGAGGCGCCGGACATTCGATTTTCATTCTCTCAACTTCGTCAGCTACTCCCTTGGCACAAAATGGCAGTGAGTAGGAATTCCCTGGCAATGTGAATTGATAAAAAGTAATCAACGAGAAAAGTGCACAAAGTCTATGGTTTATGAATTAGTAGCAGCAATGTAAAAATTTAAGATCACTCCTCAGTTTTTTTGTTGACTTTTAAGATGTATTTCTGTATGTAATATAATCTAAAACCGTAAAGTACATTCTATGTTGCTTTCGTTTTTTATTTTACATATATTTACCTTTAGTTCTGAACTGAACACATGTTTTCCTCAACTTTTGAATTGTATTATCCTAACATCGGAAGCTTGTTTTGGTCCAGATGATGAATCAACTGATGTTACAGCGACCACAAAAAATCACTATGGATCTTCTTTACATACTGGTATAACAAATATTATCAAGAATCGTCCTGTTGTAACCTTAAAACCATTGATCAGTTTTCTTCGCCTATGGAGACAAATGATAGCTCAAAAGCATTGGCCTGGTGGACATTGTTGTGATCAGTGGTGGGACTTAGACGATCAAAAATCCAATTCAATAATCTTGAAAGGTAGATACTTTATTTATTGCTTAATACCTTAGTAAAGTGTTTTTTTCCATACAAAAATATTTCTAGTCACATATTTGATTGATATTTTCTAACTCATCATCATGTATTTACTAATGCCTAACTCTATGAAGTAAGTTCTTGAGTTGTACTCCGAACCCATGATCATTGGCGTTCAACTAACAGCAATTGATAGGTAGCCTAAGTCACAAATTGACTGAAGTCACAAATGTAAACCATTAGATTGGAGATTAACATAATGAAGATACATGTGTTTATACATAGGTGAATATTATAATGATCAGTACATTAGAGAAAGTTGATAGTTCTATACATAAATGTAAGTGTATATGAAATATTTACAAACTAACAACGAAAGAATTAAATACTTGATGTCCACTTGTACAAATTGAAGTGCAGAAAGATAAAAGGTATATAAAATGTGGACTTAAAACTTTACAAGTGATATTCAGGTGTTCGAGATCATTGAATCAAGTTCTCAATGGAAAAAAAGTGCTGAACTGTAATCTCGGTAAAAAAAGAATGAAAATTCAAATCTCAACTCTATAATAAGCATAATCAATTAATCAATCAGGTCAATTATCCACTTAATGTAGAACCTTTCACAGATGTGCATCCACTTTAGAGTTCTCACATCACACATCAGCACAATCAGATGAAATTAAGAAGATGAGTATTAAGGTAGTGGGAGTGATAGTATCGCTGAAAATATGTAGATTAGGAATAGAGAATATTTTTTTCAAGATGTAAGAATGGATTGACAGAATAAAAAGTCTAATACAATAATGAAATTTAGGATATAGTTTTCGAAAAATAATAAATACATCTAGGTTATTGTGATGGATTCTAATCTGTAGTCTGTATGTAGGAGTTTTGCATGTTACATTCTAGTTTGACAAAATTATCCTAGGTAATTAAATACTATCGTTAGGCTTTGAACAACATATGAGTTTATACCTACCAAATAAATGTCTACATGATTATTAATGGATATATTACAAACTAAAATATATTATTTATTTATTTAAACACGTAAACATTGGTACAAGGAAGCACCAAATACATATGCGCCACATAAATCATTCGATTTATGTGAGGGCTGGGATACTGCCCGGGTGCCCAAACCGAAGCACGTGGTTTTCTTAGGGGAACAACACCCGGAGCCTTCGACCTAAAAGTCTGATCCACAAGGCAGTGGAGCATCGTAAGGAGATGCAGCCCCATGGTGGCCGGTGACTAAGGACTGGTTCATACGCCATTTGTTCCTTCAGGATACTAGAGCCTATGTGAACCATTGGTTTAGAATCAGGATTTTCCAACTCCCCTAGGTGGACTCTCCATGTCCACCAACCCGGTTAAAGCGCCGGACATTCGCGTTTCGTCCTCTCAATTTCGTAAACAACACCCGCGCCATGAGAAGTCAGTCAGCTGCAACGTAGGACCAGGCACGTATATGCATCGGTCCAAGTTTCCATACCGCACTAGCACAACAAGATGAACACCGGATTCATAGAAGTAGTTAATTCAGTGAAGTGGTAATAAACTTTCTGCGTTCTTTCTTCTGAATCGTTAGGAGAACTGTATCGAAAGTTATTGAAGGGGGAAAATATGTAGCTAGTTCCCTTAAACGTTTGTTTTTATATTAGTGCATTCTCACTTACTTACGCCTGTTACTCCTAATGGAGCATAGACCGCCGACAAGCATTCTCCAACCCACTCTGTTCTAAGCCTTTTCTAGTTCCATTCAATTGTTGTTCATTTTTCTCATATTTATCTCCATTTCTCGGTGTAATGTGTTCTTTGGTCTTCTTCTCCTCCTTCGGCTTTGAGGATTCCATGTGAGGGATTGCCTTGTGATATAGTTGGGTGCTTTCCTCAATATGTGTCCTATCTATTTCCAGCATTTCTTTCTGATATTAGTACATTCACTATTGTATTTTTCAGGACAAGAATAATAATGATAAAATCTGTTTGTTGTTACAAACACCTTAATAAAATCTATTTCTTTCGTAGATGTCCATCAACAATATATTGAAAAATTATTCGGTACATCTATAAAATGTGGTCTACTTGCATTATGTTCATGGATTTATCAAATTTTGAATCAATTTAATGATTCTACACTTTTGTCAAATTCATTAATTTATAACAATATTGAGTTTTATGATTCAGCAGAAATGCAAAGAATTAATTTATTGAATGAAGTAAGTTTTTCTTGGTTATCTTTTTTTTATTTATGAAAAAAAACTGTTATAACGCTCGGTTTTACTTCGTCTAATTTTATAACGGTTGGTTTTCCACGTTTACACGTATGGAACGTTAATGTACCGTAGACGAATATCTACACTAGATTCCCTCCCAGTGTCTATTCTACAGGACTTCAACACAACTCAGATTAAGAACACGTGATTAACCTGACCACAACGTAAATATATTTCCACACCAAAACCCGAAACAATCCAACAACCATCAACAAACAAAAATAATAAGGATAGGGGAATATATAACTCATCAGACTATCAACAAGTCTGACTAAGCAAACAACCAATCGTTATCATTCTCGCACACACATCAAAAACAATGTTATGTATTATGTTTCGTTTTTTTTTTTTGGTTATTTTTAAGGATACTTTTACTTTTTACATTAGTGCACTAATGACAATTATTCACATAACTGACTGGATTGAAATGCACTAATTAAGGAATGGACTTCATCAAACAACGTGTTGATCGAACAATCCTACAGGTAGTCTATCGTTACCTGAATAGTTCAGTGGTAACATATTCGACTGTGAGATTGGGTAATTTGAATTTGAATGATACAGAAAGTGTCAGTTCATTCAAGATTGCAAATACATCTTAATGACGATTACCAACTAACACGAAACCTATGTCCAGGGTCTCTTGCAGCCTACCTCCAACAACTATAGTATCAAGACAACAAATACGATTACTATCTTCAGAACTTTACCTTTTGTTTAGCCACAGAAACATCAGATGATATCAAGTGTATAATTGCAAAGAACCATGAATTACAATCAAAATTGCTCTTTTTATGCGATCTTAGCTGAGAATTCTATATTGTACCAAAAATATAATATTGAATAAAGCCACTAATAATAATAATAATCTGCTCATTTGAAGTTGGAAGTACAAAACGTTGAATTGTCCACGGATATATATATTGCTCACAATTTCAATCTATTTGCAATGTTGATTGACATGTTTCCCCATGTGTCTTATTATTGACATATATATTTTTCATGTTGCTATATAATTCCAGGTGACCTAGATGAATGTACACATGTAAGTTCCATGATAACATATGAAAAAGGAATAAACATGAGGATGTAACGAATGATCATGATACTATATTACATCATCATGTTTATCCCTTGTTCATATGTCATCACCGAAATAGTACTTAAACACACTAGAGAATTGGAAAACCCTGATTCCAAATCAATGGTGCACATGGGCTCCAGAATCCCGAGGGAACAAGTGGCGTACCAACTTATTGTTGGTCACCGAATACCATGGGACTGAGTCTCCAAACGTTGCTACATTACCTTGTGGATTAGACCTTCAGGTCAAAAGTATGGGAAGTGACCCTCTAAGAAGACCACCTGCTCCAGTCTGGGCATCCGAGCAGTATTCCAGCCCTAACACAAATCAATGATAACTGCTACTGGTCTCATTATTATTGAGTGGCGCATATGTATTTGGTGCACCCTTGTACCGATGTTTATGTTTTCAAATAAATAAATAAACATTATACTTATAAAGTCCTCTTGATTTTCTATGAATTGCATGTTACATCTCTCTATATATTTTATTCGTTACAATATAAATTTCTTTGTTAACTTTACAGTTTTCTGGGATGATTGCTGTGCTTACTCAACGTGAAGATATAATTTGGCCTGATAATTGTTATTGTAAGCGTCAGGTAAGTAATTAATTCATTATTCACTGTTAAATGTCTTTTTTAATCATGTCATGCTTTAACAGATTTCAAATATACATACTCAAAGAGTGAATTGGTATTTTAATTGTTGTTTATCATTTACATACATTTCTAGTTCATTATTGACGGAAAACTAACTTATCATTATTAAATCGGTAGTAAAGTTGAAATTGTGGCTAGCGGCGAAATCCAGCACGCGCATTTCTTCTTGTATGTGACTAGTTATTCGGATTTACTTGCATCTTATTTATGTCCACACTGAGACTCGAACTTTGTATTTTCCGCTCTTAACGCCAACGCAGTATTCATTGAATTACTGGATGCAGATAATCGGTAACTTGTCTAGTGGGTACGGAGGCATAAATGTAAGGGTTTGCATTTTCCCATCGATATAATTGGGGTATATTTCATCAGTCTCTGTTGGCATCTGTTCATCTTCTATAGATTGGACTGATATTGTCTTTAGTTACAAGTTTTTGGTCGATTTGGAATTATAACATGTAATTAAAGCCAATATCAGAACAGTCCTCACAGGATGCATTGATTCCAACAGAGATTGATAAAATACTAGTCAGTGTATCGAAAACGGAATAATTCAAATATTTACAGATCAAATTAAAATTCATACCCCATTGCACAAGTGAGTGGATATGTGAACTCAGTAGCTAAGTGGATAACACTTTGGCGTTTGTAATGAACATTACTGGGATGGAGTCCTGGAGTGAACAGCAACTCTTAAATGCAGGTACATTTAGCTGCCAATTTCTAAAAAGTTCCATGACTTTCTGGTGATTGCCTGTTACCACGTAAATAACTTTACAATGCTTACTACAGATTGATTAGTTAATGCTGAATATCTCTTCACAGGAGTTTAATTACGAAAATAACGTACACTTGATTGGTCACTAAGTAGGTTTTTTATATTTGTCAATAAATTTCTGTGGATAACAGTTGTCTCTTGGGCATTTTTCAACGTTCATGGTACGTATCCTTTCTACCCTATAAAATAGTGTTTTAATCCATGCCTTCTTGTAAATGATTGGATAGAAAGTACTGGAATTCAGGTAAAGGCCATCCCAAGTACTTTTTCGATAAACAGAACGTTGAACTGTCCCGTTTTCTCTACGTTTTATGGCAATATCAAGAAAGTGGAACTTGTCATTCTGTTCGTGTTCCATAGTAAATTGTATGTTAGGATGAGCGTTATTGAAGAGTTTTAGCAGGTGGATTACATGCTGTTTATTGTTACAGACAATAAACGTGTCATCAACATATTTGGAATATTCCGTCGTTTCGCTAATCGCCTGTTTAAACACTATGTTTTCAAGATACCCCATAAAACTATCTGCCATAATTGGACCTAATAGACTTCCAATTGCTACACCATCGATTTGATGATTTATGCTGTCATTAAACTGGAATTGAATGTCTATTATGCACATTAGTAGTAGTGTTTTGAATTCTGGGGCTTGTAAAGATAGGAGATCATAATTCAAACAAATTATATCAGTAGTTTCAAAAAGTGGTGTAAGACAGTTCGTGATAATCTTTTCCCACTGACTATTGTTCTCACTTTTAGTCTGTTATTTTTTATTGATTGTGTCTCTATGTTACATTTTCCGTTGTTATGTGAATAGAGTTGTTCTATCACAATTTCAACATTTTTAGATATGTACTTGTTTTGCCAAGTTTTTGACTTCTCTCTCTTCAATCACATATATGATTCATATTAAAGTGTTGTGTGTTAATTGTCTGAACTATCTAGTTCGTATAGATAGAATCCAATTGTTCAAAATGGCCATAAGGCATGAAAAGAAAAGAAAAACTCAGAACAAGTTTACTTACTTTTCTACCTTAATCTATAAGCAGGGTATCGCGCCCCCAAATGCCCTGGTACGGCCGAAAGTGAGAAGAGTCCACTCTCCCTCTCCAAATGCTCTCACATGACCACGCGTATATAGCCTCTGCCAGGGAAGTCCTACTCACTGCCTTCTCGCACCACGGGTGTTGTTTACGAAATTGAGAGGACGAAAAGCGAAAGTCCGGCACCGGCTTTAACCGGATCCCAAACCAATGGTGCACATGGGCTCCAGTATTTTCAAGGAACAAATGGGGGTGTGAACCAATCATTGGTCACCGGCTACCATGAGACTGCATCTCCTTACGATGCTCCACTACCTTGTGGATCAGATCTTAAGGTCGAAGGCTCGAGGTGTGGCCCCCTAAGAAAACCACGTGCTTCTGTTTGGGCACCCGGGCCGTATCACAGCCCTCACACATATCAATTGAGATCTGTGTGGGGCATATGTATTTGGTGCCTCCTTGTATCAATATCTATGTGTTAAAATAAATAAATAAATAATCTATAAGCAAGTTTTTTCTTTCAAACAAGAATTACTTTCTTTGGAATTATGTATGCATTAAATTAGTTTTTCGTATTTCTGTATATACATTTCCCCCCCTCTCTCTCTCTCTCTTTCTTTCTTTATCCGTTAGGTTTATTCAACATTAGTTTATTTATCAACTTATCCATTACAAACCTTATTAACTATACCAACTAGTTTATTATCAACACCATTAATTCATCATCAATCCATATATACATATCATATATTATTAATGAAACAAAAGTATTGTTTACTTGCATTTGGTCAATTAACACGTGCTTTAATTGGATTATTATGGAAACATGGTGATCAATGTTTTCAATTATATACTGATTGTTTACCAGATTATTTTTGTTTAATTACTAATTTATCTCGTTGGTTTCAATATACCAATCGTATACAATTAATAGAACATGATCATAATCAACATGAATTCAATAAATTCAATTATTTTAATTCATCATTTCATCTTAATAATAATAATAATAATAATAATAATAATTTTACATTAAGACCTGAATTAATTGAAGAATTGTATGATTTTGAGTCTGGTTTAGAAACTCCATCAAATTCAAATGTTTTTTAATCATATTTTTCCCTTCTGATGATGTATCATTGTTCAATGTTGTACATTTTGTAAATAAATTTGTATAGATTATTATTTGTCTTTTTTTTTTAATATTTCTTTTGAACTTCTTTTTTTTTCTTCTTCTTTTCTCTTCATAAGTTATTGTTCTGTTTGACTCTTGATATAGTTCATTGTTCAATTCTTTGTGTTTATTTTATATTGCATTTTGGTTCTTCTTTATTTTCAAAGAGAGAGACAGAGAGAGAGAGAGAGAGAGAGGGGGGGGAGAAATAACAACATACTATTCTGTAAATATTATTGAATAAAATTACTTGTGATTTTGTAATGTGTCGTTTTTATTTTACCTTTTTGATTAGTTTATTATTGTTAATGCAAGAGTAGCGTTGTTTATTAATCAACCTCTAAAAAAAGGGTTAAATATTTATCAAAAAGATATTTTACCATGTTTATAATTATTTATTTTGTGGATTGATATTGGTGGACACGGAGGGTTCACCTAGGGGAGTTGGAAAACCCTGATTCCAAACTAATGGTGCACATGGGCTCCAGTATCCTGAAGGAACAAATGGTGTATGAATCAATCGTTGGTCACCAGCTACTATGGGACTGCATCTTCTCTTTACGTTGCTCCACTGCCTTGTGGTTAGACCTGTAGGTCAAAGGTTTAGGAAGTGGTCTCCTAGGAAAACCACTTGTTGCGGTTTGAGCACCCGAGCAGTGTTCGAGCCCTTACATGTATCGAATGATTTGTGTGGAGCATATGTATTTGGTGCCTTCTTGTATCAATGTTTATGTGTTTAAATAAATAAATGAAAAAAGGATTGATGTTAACTCGGATGCTTTTAATGTTTATCAATTATGCTGTAACGAATACATTTCGGTGATATTATTCCCATTCATTTAGTGGGCAATTGCTGTCAATTCAAGTGTAGTTTTCATTAAAGATTTCATTTTTGAAGCTGTAACTTTTATTATATTTGTGCTTTTAATTTGGCATATGTCAGACATGTCCGGAACGTTCTTAGAAACAGTTTCGGATAACTTCATCCTTTTGAAATGAAATCGTTCGAAAAGAATTACAGTTTTCTATAAAGCATCTCCATTAAATGAATGTAAAAATAACCGAAAATACTGGATATTACACAACTGGTGAGCATTTAAAACTTCGCGGACAATCTGAGCGTTTTGTCAAAATGTATATGGTCGATTTTTGAACGGTTTTATTTTTACGGTCTGATATTTTTTTAGGAAGCTATGGTTTAGGAGGTGGCAGTACTCGACTTTCAACTACTGGGTTCCAGGTTCGGAGGTTCCGACATATACTGCAGTTTGGACAGCCGGGCGGTCTTACTAGACCCCACACCTAAAGTATGGTTCAAAATTGACTTAAAAGCATGTATTCCAGTCAGTAGCTGAAGAATGATAGCAAATTAGGAGTCAGTAAACAGGATTTTTTTAGGACACCATTCATTATTTCATATAGGATCACTTCCTAGAGGATATACGATTTTGAATAGATGTCTATCCTTGATCTCATCAGTCAAAAGTTTAGAACAGCAAAAAATACATTGTTTAAATTTCTGGGTATATCAGTTAATTTCTGTGCAAGCAAAAGTTGTTCGATCGACATGATTGTTTTTCCAGTTACGTTTCACAGACTATGTTTAATAAATTCATCTCAAAAACTGAACAAATATATAGATTTTTTCAGTATAGGGTTATGGAGGTTGTTAAATTTCATTGAAATCATGAACCGATCTGAGTTCATGATTTCAGTGGAATATTTGAATATTGTTTACACTGCGAATGTATTGTAACTTGAGCTTGAAATTTGTCACGATAACTCATTGATCATCAAGTAAGGGTTTATGTACTCGGATCTGCACCCAACCATTTCTGTGAAGGCTGATGATATCCAGCTGTCGAATTCGAATTAGCTAGTTTGAATTCGTAATCATGACATATTTGTTAAAAACTGCACACACTACTAATATTTTATTGATCAATTAAGATACTATTTTATAAGAACTTTCGTCTAAATTTGATCGAATAGTTTCACAGTATTTGGGTGCCGAGTTGATGTGAGACATTAAAGAGGAAGAATATTGTATTTGTAAAATCTCACCAAAAGAATTTGAAGTAAATATCATATTTCCTTGAAAAAGTTTGAGTCAGATTGGCCGACGAAACGTTGAACTTACTTCAAATTCATTCGCTGAAATTTTACAAATACACTCTTCCTCTTTATGATACTACTTTGTTAAAGTTCCTTGTATGTTGTTCTATGTAATAAGGATTGTTTCAATTCAACATTATCATTTGTTATATATATATATATATATATATATATATATATATATATATATATATATATATATCCATTTAAACTTGAATAATATCCGTGCGTTTTCAAGTTTGCTATCTGTGTTCCTTTCACTCCGATATCTTTAAATGTTATTTGGTTGGAGTTGATCGGGATCACTCAGAACCAGAGATATATCAACTGAGATATTCAAGTATTGGTTGAAATCCTATAGGATTAAGCAGGCATAGCATTGTTTACCGTTCAATGATCAAGCAATGCTTTTTATACTAATATTATTCAATTTTATCTAATTGTAGTAATATTGATTATGGAAAGAAGTCGTATAGCTTTAACGTTATATGATATGGGTGTAGTAAAATTTGGTAAATATCAATTGAAATCAGGTATAATCTCTCCAATCTATGTTGATTTACGAATTCTTATTTCTTCACCTAAATTTATGGTGAGTTCTGTTTTATTGCCTGTCATCTATATCAGGTTATTTTATTTATAAAATAAATATAGTAGTATTATTATATAAGGGATTCATATATTTACTATTGTTAACATTCACAACTGGATTGATCAGTGTCTGTTTGTATGTAGGTACTTTGAATGCATATTTTGATAATTAGGATTAAAATTTGATTTTATTTTGAAAATGCCCTGGTAGAGTGATTTATATTCCATGTAAGCGGTAATAATTCCTAGCTGTGATTCCTACCTGGATGCTACAAGCTACTTTCTTTGTAAGGACTGATTGTGACCATAGGATTTGATCGTGCTTCATCTGATTTAATAGCCCTAAATGTCACCATTTGGGCATTCCAGCTACTACTGACCTATACGACTAAGATATTTATACTGATATGTCATCATGTAGTAAGTAATGTCACGTTTGTCTAGTCCTTGGTGTTGATCAGTCGAACGCCATTTAACATGAAACCCATATTCAGGGTTTGTTACGGATTATCTTTAACAATTCAGCATCAAAACGCAGAACATAGGATATTTGGTCACTCAGACTAGCAGCAATATGTGCAACGTGATCGACAGAATTCAATCAACATTAAAGGATCAATATGCCATTGATTACGTTTTAGCAATCGGTCAATGTAAATGCTATGACCAATTATATATACATCAGCATGTTAAAAACAAAATTTCCTTATGATAAAAACTTAATATATGGATAGCTGCTTCCGTCAAAACACGTATGAATGTCTATTAACTAACAATTTTGTTCGTGATAATACGTGATTTTATCATTTAATGCAAGTGTAATGCTAGTTTTTGTCACCAGTTTCAGCTTAAAACCATTAAAAACAAAAGTGATAGCGGACAAATTCTTTGTCCTAACTTGAGACTTATAGACACCGAGTAGCTATCCCTGTTCATGACATCTAACGCATGACTTAAAACTTACTATGCAGTGGTTTGGATTATCCCCTTGCTGATATTTTGACCGAAATCTAATCATTCCTGCTTAGCATATGTACATTCTGTGCAGATCATTTTAATGTAGCCAATATGATGACCCAAGCCATTACATATTAAATTAAAATCCATACCCCGCTGCACAATTTAATGACTATCTGGACTCAGTAGTTGAGTGGATCTTTATGGTACTGGCTTGGATTCCGGGGGGTGAAATCAGGTGCACCCGGCTGATGAGTCCCAAATGGAACGAAACACGGGTCATGGGTTTCACTACTACTCACGTTCCATCTATTTTATATAACCAATTATCTTTTTCGTTATTTTTCTTCATAAATAAAAGAGTATTCTGACTAGATTTATTTATTTATTTGTATTTAAATTTAGGATGAAATCGCACAATCACTTATCACTTTATTGCCAAATAATGGAATAGATCTTATATGTGGTGTGCCATATGCCGCTTTACCAATAGCAGCGGTAATTTACATGCTTTTTAAAAAGAAAACGTGTTGCTCTGCTATGTTATACTCCATTATAATTTTATACAATTTCCGATATTTATTGATAACTTATCATTTTAACTATGTTTCTCCCCTAGTAATCCAATCACACAGGTTTATTGAACAAATACATTTCACTACTGAAAATAAAGGATAAGCAGCAAACTAAATGTTCTTATTTCCGAATCTTGGTGAGTTTGTAGGTGTATACTAGTGAAACGAGTCTCATACTAGGACGATAAAGCTATCCAGTTTTCTTTGGTTTTCAATGAGACACCCTAAATGACAAATACAACCTATAAAAGAAATATTATTGACTTGACCAATAAGATAAAAAAGCGATTGTAGTTAATAATAACAGTTTGCTGTATACATGAATGAAAATGATGATAAAATAATAGTTTAATTGTTTGTCAAAAGTAGGGATTTATATGACTTCTAAGCTAGATAAGAAAAACAAACATTCCTAACATTGATCAAATAGTGTATGGAAGAAAATTTACTATCCAAGTGTATGAGTTGTGATATCTTAAAGTTTGGATTACTCTAGTGATACTAACCGGTTGTCTATATGATAAAGTGTTAGAATGGGTCCAAGATGGCGACTGAATACTAGTACTTCAAAGAGTCAATTACTTTAATCAATAAGTCAACAGCCCATTAATTCGTTCTATACACTTTCATGATAATTTTATAGGAGAATAGTACTGTATTATTTGATTATTGATAAGTAATCAAGTAGTTGTTTACTGATAATCACTTATTGTCTTTAATGATGCTTTATGCATTATCTTATTCAAACCAATAGTCAACAGCTTTTCTTAGTTCCATCAGATTTGTTTGTTTCATGTTATTGATCTGGTATGTCACAATATTTAAATTAGATTATTAATATTAGTCCCACTCCATTGGAACATATCATGGGTAAGTAACCAATAAGTATTAATTACAATAGTTAAAATCATGAGTCAATTCAAGTTAGATCACTATGGAAAACCTGGAATCACTGGACGGCCAACTCGTCCTATTGTGGGACTCCTTAGCAGTGCACATCCACGATCCCGCCTCGCGAGATTCGAACCCAGGACCTATCGGTTGCGAACGTTTAACCTCTAGACCATTGAGTCGACCGGCATCCAACGTTGTTAATGTTTAACTTCAACTAATCCACAAAATTAAACAACACATCCATCATTGTCTTCAATGAGTTACTATCTCACAACAGACTCATGATCTCAACTATTGAAATTACTATAATATTCATAAAAACCC